GGGGGGGGGGCAGACTGATGTTTGTTCACGGGGAGTGGGGGGAGGACTTAGAGAGCGAGAGTTCGTGAAATGGTACGGTACCATTTCTTTTCACAGCTACTTTAGGTGCGTGTGGGGGTGCTAGAGGGTAAGAAGAAAGAAGGGACACATGGACGCGAGGGTGGCTACTGGAACGACCGCCATACCAGCCACATACAAACTTTACAGATTCGGGTAAAACCAAAATAAGTTCTAAAGTTTCATTCTTATTTCTCATTCAAAAAGTTTATCAGTCGCTTCCGTATCATCAACCATGCTTTGTTGTGTTGTGGCCCTGCACACGCTTACGCATACATGCTTGCCATGCCCCCCCACCACCACCACCACCACCACCACCACCACGGGGAGAAGCGAAGCGAGGAGGAAGTCTTCCTGCACATCACGTGACACGACATGGAACGCCCTGGAGAGCAACAAGACCCTGGCCAAAGTAGTGCACAACACGCCACACCAGCAGCAGCAGCAGCAGGAGCAGCTGGGTCACAGCCAGCCGCCGAGCCGTACTCTGATCAGCAAAAGGACCCCATAGTAAATGCAACCGTTTGTTATGTGTGTTTCAGGAGAAAATGTGAGGTCGGCTCGGACATGGAGGGCAAGGAGCCCAAGGACCTGACCTCGAGCAGGGCGATGCTGTCCAGCGCGCACATCAAGATGAGGTAAGTCCCGAGCGAGGCCTGAGCGGGCCCGACCCCCGCGCGCCTGTGTACGTTAGTTAGGCAACCCGGTGGACGCGCGCGCGCAACGGGACTGCAGCGCGGTGCCGTATGGTCCCCGACGAGGTCCCCGACGTCTCGTAGGAGTCCCTCTCCGGGGGGACGTGGGGAACATTCTTATTCATGCTCCATTCTATAAAACTGCCACGGCTCTCTATCGGCAAACTTGAACTGCGTATGCTGCGTATGAGAAATCAAGACGGTGACAGCAGAGAGATGGGTGCTGCGGCTCGCCCCTTGCGTGGGACGACGGCCCGTGTCGTGTGCGACGCACCGAGAGAAAGAGAAAGATAGAGTGAGGAAGGGGGGACATGTACATTGGCTCGCGTCGCGGAAGAAACAAACGTGTTTCTCGCGAATTCTGCGTTCGTCGCGGTGCTTCGGGGATGGAAAACAATCCTTTTCTTTCCTCCTGTCTTTCCTCCTTTACTTTTGTGGTTTTAAAAACACGTTCGCAGTGCCCACACGGAAAAAAATATGTAAGTTCGCATAGCTGATATGTTTGCTGATATCGTGACAAGCAACTTTTAAGCTACCGTAGCTAAATAATTGACTCATGTGCGCAAGAATTAGCTAGGGCAGCTAATGCTTACCTGGATTAGGTTTAGTGCTCGTTCTGGTATATTATCCCCAATCAATTGAAGCAGACATTGCATTTGCTCCTGCAGGTGAAGCATTAGCTCTCACAGCTGATACGTCGCTGTGACAGCAAACGTCTCGCTGTGGTAGCCAAAAAACTTGCTTACGATATTCGCAAACATAAAAGCTAAGGCAGCTAACATTTAGTTGGCTCAACTTACATATTTTTTCCGTGCAGTCTCTTGACTTGTGTGGTCTCCTCTGCTTGCAGGCTGTTGTCGCCCAGCGTGTCGCCCACGGCGTCCAGCCACTCGCCCTCGCCGCCGGCCGCGCAGGCGCCGGCCGCCTCCTACAAGGCCACGGGCATCCCCTGCGTGGCGGCCGCCTCCCGGTACACGGCGCCCGTGCACATCGACGTCGGCGGCACCATCTACACCTCGAGCCTAGAGACGCTCACAAAGTAAGTCATCCTCGAAAAAAAAACCAACTTAAAGCTAGAAAATGTCAATTTTAAAGTCATAACCTAGCTTCATACGTAACATTGGGCATCAAATTTATCTACGAAAAGAATACATAAAAATTATCGGATTGCTATAATGTTTGCCGTGTGCAGGGGGAGAGCGACAGAACTTGGGCGTATTATGGATTCGTCGTTCGCCCGCGCCCCGCCCGCGCCCCGCCCGCGCCCCGCCCGTTTATTGTCCGCGCGCACACGTGCATTGTCCGCTGTGCTGATTGGTTCCGTTTCCGCGCGGTCGGGTTTCGGTGGTGGGAAGAAGAGAGAATAGGGTCGCGGCAGCGCTGCTGGGGGAATGTAACGGGGAAGGTGGCGCGCAGAGGGAGTTGCAGAGCGGCTGGCGCGGCGCCGGGCCGGGCAGGGGGAGGGGTGAGGGGGAGATCAGCTGAATTATTGGTGACGGCCGGACAAACTCCGCGCGGTGCCCTGCTCGGCTTTTGCGCTCGTGGGTCGACTGGGGGACTCTGGGGCGTTGTTGGAATGGGGGGAGGGGGTCGAACAGCTGAATCAGAGGTGTCGATAGAAGGTACTCTACACACTTGGTGTTTTCAGTTTTATCCTATTAAATAAAAGATCAAAATGTTTCCCACAAAAATATTCAATTTGTCCGTAACTAACAAGAAATTTTCTGATCTAAAGACGACGAGTGTGTATACAATGAATATAGAAGGAAACTTAATATTTTCAATCTACCGAAGATGAAATGAAAGTACTCATTCTTTCTTACTTGTTGGGTTCTTTAGGAGGAAAGTCGACCAGACCAGGATAGTTTTGTTCGACGACGAAAAATCGTTCGGTCAGTCCACGAACAAAAGTTCGGATTCAAACACCCTGTGTTCAAAGACGAACGAACACGATCAGTTCGCTGTTCGTTCGAGTTCGACTGCGAACAACGAACATGTTCGCTTATCTCTATACTGTCTGTGACTGTAGGGAATATCCATATAAGTCTGCTTGCCATTTCCTCGACAAAAAGTCGTGCACTCGATCCAATAGTAACAGAAAATGCGCTGAACCCGTTCCAGGTACCCCGACTCGCGGCTGGCCAAACTCTTCAACGGCAGCATCCCCATCGTCCTGGACTCGCTCAAGCAGCACTACTTCATCGACCGGGACGGCGGCATGTTCAGGCACGTGCTCAACTTCATGCGCAACGCGCGCCTCCTCATCCCGGACACCTTCTCCGACCTGGACCTGCTGCTGGAGGAGGCCCGCTACTTCGACATCGCGCGTGAGTACCAGACCTAGACCCCACAGGACAAAGCACCAAGAAAAAAGACTTCTTGTTTCAAGTAATATTGTACTAACTGACCCAAGAGTATTTTTTCTCTTGATAACAAGACTGTTTTTTCTTTGAAGTAAGAACATTTTCTCAATCGGAAGGTAAATACGGTAAAATTGTATTTTAGGACAAAATACACATGAAGTAAGAAATCATTTTTCGGTGTGAGCTAGCAGCAGTAGGGAAGGGAGACAAAATGTCACAGCCGTGCTAACAATTGCAACAAACACTTTATTACGCGCTTGATTTTTTTTCGGCGTATCGTGACCTACGTCAGTCTTCTTATTTCTTATTTGGAAGACTTTTCTTTTTAATTTCGATAGAAACTGGGGTCAAGCACCCTCCTAAGCGCTCCACCCTGGCCCGAAGCCATTTTAAGCAACAGACCACATATTTCTCCTCTCTGTCTTGCTCGCGGCGCGGGGGCGGGGCGGGTCGGGTCGTCGTATCGGACGCGCTCTGCTCCGTCTCGCCGCGGCCCCCGTGGCCCCTCCGGGGGCGGGAGGGGGCTCCTCGCCTCATCACGGCCCCGACAGGGCTGGCCGCGCCCGCCGGGCCCGCCGGCCCCACCACGGCCCCGCCACTGGGGGTCGCAGCCGCAGCTCAGCTCGCCCCGCCGTCTGGCTCGTTGGTAGTCCCGGTGACGTTAACAATCTCTGGGTCAGTTTCAAAGCCAGCGAGCGAGAGCGGGGCTGCTGTGAGTCGGCCGGACCCCAACGGGGGCCCTCTGGCGCTACCGGGCCCCGCCCGCGCCCCCCGCTCGCGGGAGAGTGAGGGGGAGGGGCGGAGGCCTAACCGAGAGGCAGGGCATGGAGAGCGGCGCGCGGATGGAGAGCAAGAAAGAGGGGGAGAGAGGAGGGGGGGCGGTTCCCTCATTGTCTCGTTACGAATGCAAGCCAATTTCTTTCATCCGCGCGATGGGGAGAAAGAAAAAAATAAAAAAAGATAAAACGAGGAACGGCGGTTGGCGTTGGTCTGGCGGCGAAGCTCGGCGGCCCAGGCGGGCCTCGGCCGGGTCCCGCGTCCTGTAAGTACTTGCCTGCCGAGGGGGGTGGGGACGGCCTCGGGGGCGGCCCGCGGCGGTGTGGCGGTAGAGGAGACGTAACTGGGATGAGACAGGGCGGTCTGGGGCCGCGGCGAAGGGCGGAGGAAGGGAAGCCCCAAGGCGCGGAGCTCCTCGGCGGCGCCATCTACAGTCTCGACGAGGCGCGCGCGCTGTTGTCTTGAGAGCACTCCTCTCCAGCTCGAGGGGCAGCTCCAGGAGCATATTCGAGAGCGGCACGAGGAGCATATTCTGGAGCATCTCCAGGAGCAGTAGGTCCAGGAGTTGTTCCAGGAGTAGCTTCAGGAGAAGCTCCAGGGCCAAGGAGCAGCTCCAAGAGCAGGCATCCCAGGTTCGATGATTCAGGCGTGTGTAACGTGACGAAGGAATCCTGATCGAGGAGCTAATGGCGGTGGTGGGAAGGGACATGGAGGTGGCGCCGAAGTCTCGCTGGACCGTGTCGCGCCGCAGACAGCGGTGGTGTGGGGCAACTCTCCCTGCACCCCCTGCTCCTGAGCACCCTCTCGACCCGCACTGCCCCCTCTCCCGCAAAGCGTGGCCACGGGATGCGGGGTTTAGGGGGGGGGGAGTTTCAACAAAATGAGCGATTTCGTAGACTCGACGGCGCTTCGCCGCCGGCGACGCATTAGAGAGGTCGATGCAGGCGGGCAGGCGCAAGCGGGCGGCGCCGGGAAAGGGG